TAGCCACAGATGGCTACTTAAATGCAAATTAATTAAAAATAAATAAAATTTTAAATTCTCACTTACACTAGCCACATTTCTAGTGCTCACTAAACATCTGTGGCTAGTGGCTGCCATGTTGGTCAGCACAGATAGCGAGCACTTCCATCACAGCAGACAGTTCTGTTAGCGTAAGTCTAGGGAATGCATCAGCACTGGGTGGTCATTTTAGATATAGTTCTTCTATAAAAAAACAATCAAGTCTATGGCAATGCTACCCTGAACAAGCCCGATCCCATCCCATCTGATCTCGGAAGCTAAGGAGGGTCGGGCCTGGTTAGTACTTAGATGGGAGACCCCCTAGGAAGACCAGGTGCTGTAGGTGTAAAAAAAATAAGGGATTGTGAGCTGACAAGGTCCTTGCAATCTGTGAAGTCAACCAAGGGTTACCTTGCCTAAAAAAAAAATCTTTCTTTTTTTTTAATTAAATAAAATAAAAAAGAAACAATCAGCTTCTCTCCTAAAAATTGAAAGTTTTGATACAAGGAAACTTCATTATTAACTACTTTGAGTTTGAGGGGAATTAAACAACCACCTTATAGCCTCCTCATATAAGTAATAATCACTATAATTGTGACTATCATTTAACAACATTAGGGGTTCAGGAATTCGTTAGAGTGACTTAGAAAGAGACTTCATTGGGCTTTTGTGATCTTAAAAGCTGTTACTGTTTGGAAAATGCCAAGAAAAAAATTCAAACATTCTCAACTGCCACATAGTACTTCTAATCTCATAAGATTTGGTTGATCACTGTATTTCACATTTGCACTGTTCTGAGAAGAACTGTTTGGCGTATTTTTGATATTCTGTTTTTCTGTTTTAACCTATAGTAAACAAGCATTTGAGAACATTCCAACAAGTTTGGAATTGTTCTGTTACTTGTAAAACAGGGCTTCTGAATAAAACTGGTTAATTTTTCAAATTGAATTTTGAAGTTGCATTCTTCCTTCAGGCACCATTGAAGTACAGTATAGTGGGATCAGGTGCTGATCTGGAGAGTAGGTACTGAGTCTCTTGAGCCTTAAGATTTTCTGACCCTTGGCTAAAACAGAGATGTCAGCTTTAGCTAGGTTTCCTGATGCAGGAAAGGAAGACAGCCTTATTCTAGTACTGTTGAGTAGCTTACCACATTTTCTGAACATTAGAACAATGCATGTTTGGCTTTGAACAGGTCTGTAGTGGGCCTGTCTGCATTACTGACAAGCTCCCAGGTCTTCCTATGCTGCTACTCTTCAGAGCACACTCATATCTCTAGGCTGTAACTAGTAAAAAAGTTTAAATGTGGAGGTGTCCTCGTTTTTGTAGTCATAGTTGGGCCCCATGAAGTTAATCCTCCTTAGAGAATGATAGGCCTGATAGCGTCTGTATTTGTGAGGCAATGGGTAGTAGGGTGGTATCCTAGATGGCAGGATGGGAGGCCATGTGAAAATTTTTAAATGAATACTATGAAATAGAGTTTTTACTTTTTAAAACTATTAGTAACCTAAAACATGTATTCTTAATATTGAAATTTTCTATTAATATAAAAAAAATTGTTTAACTACAAAATGGGTATTATTTTTAAATAGTGGTTTAGCTCTCTTTCATGGTTTAACTATCTTTCATGGTTCAGTTTAAGAACATTGAACTATTAAAGGGCATAAATACCTAACAGAGTAGCAGGCAAGATTTTAAAAGGAAAAGAGCAAACTATTATTTCTAGTTCTGGGATCTCCATTTCCTATAAGAGGAACTAGAACACAGCATTCCTTTATGTAAACTACACTTTTGTGGGAGCCAAGAATATACCTGTTTAATGCATTCTTGGTATATTCTTAGAGTTAAATAATCCGCTTACAGTTTGAGATATGTTCCTTGGGTTAGAACAGTGGTCACAGTGCTCATCTTCCTATATTGCTTTTTCTCATTGTGTCCCTCTTCTCTCTTTAGTACAATAAATAAAGAACAATTTTCCAAGAGAAAAAATGACACACTGGATCCTGAACTGTAAGTAGTTCCCCTTGAATAGTCAGTATACTTTGATTTTCCTTCTTCCGTGCATTTTCTTGGTTTGCACAGCCAGCAAGATGATTCTATATTCTTCAGCTAAATCTACATGACATACATCTAACTTAAATGGTAAGAAATGTAGAAGTCTACATTTCAGTTAGTGTTCGTTTACATTTCACTGAATCGACCAAATGGTATTTGATAGGCCCAAGTGAAGCACCACACTACCTCTGCTCAGGGACATGTATGCTATCTCTGTTGTCCTCTGCATTTTCAAACAAGTTCACAGTCCCTTTCTTTGCAGGGAGGCCTTTCAGAGCACTGAGCTGTCCCAGTACTCTGCGTCAGTGGTCTTTCACTTTTCATTGCCATTCTACAGTCACATTTAAAACCGTCACAAAATAACTGAATATAACTCTTTTGAAATTTGTTCTACCTGTAACACTAAAGAACTTTTAAAAATTAAAAACTTTTTAAAACTATTTCAGTTATTTGGATATGATTTTGGCTATCTTTGGAATTATCAGAAATCTGAAGATTTTGGAAATTTTGAACTTTTGGCTTTTTATTTCCAGATTTGTTGAATGTACAGAATGTGGAAGAAAGATGCATCAGATCTGTGTCCTTCATCATGAGGTCATCTGGCCATCTGGGTAAGACACCAGTTTTTTTCTGTAGGCATTTTTTTCATCATGATTTTTATCATGTTTGCAATGATTATATCCTGTCTTCAGAGTTCCTGTGTCTAAAAATTGTTCTTTGGATTGGGAAAAGGTAATTAAAATCCCGTTTTTAAACGTTAACCTAGGATCCAAAAATGTCGGTCTCTTGCTTGCATCCATTGTTTAAATCCATGTATAAATATTTTACTGGTTCGTATTTTAAAATATTTTGTGATCATTATACATTAAAAGTAAATGGTTTTGTAAGTTTTATCAATAGAGATAACAGGAAATCTCTAGCACCTAGAAACTAGCAAGGAGGTGTTAGGTGCTATTAAATTTGCCAGGTTCTGAATGTTACTTAATACTGCAGTAGAAATATTAGAAGATACAGATATGGAGGGTACCAAGGAAACAGCTGTTTCTCTCTCTGAGAAAACATCACTGCAAATCGTATGTTAAATGGTGGCTCTGGTTAAGATTTAATTTAAACATTCTAGGTAGGGAGGGTTGGGCGATAATTTTCACGGCCGTAGTAATAAGTTACATGGCTTCTGTCCAGTGAATGACAGAGTTGCATAAAATGACTAGGTACAGACTTCCATGAACTAGCTATTCTTGGGTCCCATGTTCTGTTTCTGAATATTCTCCACATACTTACCCAAGCTGCACATCATCAGTGACTTCTATCGCAAAAAGTGGGTTTTTGTCCATTGTGACACTTACCTGCTACTGCTATGGGCCACCTCTCACTCTCCAAGAATGGGGCTGATCCCAACTCTGTTCCAAGGGATGGAAGAGGGTATCTGCACATCAAGCGACTCCCACTAGGTTAGGGCCTCTACCTACACTGTTAGGTGCTCTTTTCTTAGATTGATTGTTGATGCCAGTTTGGAGGTTATAGGAAAGAGGAGACCAATTAACAGATCTCCAGAAAATAACACAGAGGAAAGTTGTAGTAGTGGACATGTCTTTAGATACGCATTTTTAGTACTCTCCTAAACTGCAGAGTGGATAAGGATAAATTAAGAGACTTGCAGTGATTATTACAACTTCAGATCAGTCAGCTAGTTGATGAACTCTCACATTTTTGTAAGAAATTCTACTTATGTACACATCCTTATGTATTGCAAGAACAAAGACAATGCACATTTTAAATCTGTTGTGCATTACTGGAAAAGCGTTACATGTTTTACATCCTTGCCAGTAGCTTATAGACTTTTTGCCAGTGTGGTTGGCCAAAAACAAAATCCCTGTTTTGATTTCTAATTCTTCATAATCTTTTCACATATAAGCCAGTTTATATGCCGTTCACATTTCTTCAAGTCTTTCGCCTGTTTTTCAATTAGGTTTTTTTTCCTTTTTGTTAATATCTACAAGCTCTTTGTATATTGGCTGTATTCACTTCGTTGCATATTTAGAAATACTTCTCCCAGATCGTCATTTGAATTTTAACTTTTATGTACATGAGATAGATTTTGTAGTGTACATTATCGTAAACATTTCTCTTAAGTTTTGTAAGCAGAGTCTTGGTTTACATTTTAGGTTTATCTGTGATGGCTGTTTAAAGAAATCTGCACGAACTAGGAAAGAAAATAAGTTTTCTGCTAAAAGTAAGTTTCATTCTTATAAGCGTATCTCGGCAAACTTCACCGAAGCATGTAGTTAAAACAATAAACCATCCAAAATTAATTACTTCGTTTCAACCTTATTTAAAATATTTAACCAAACTAAAAATTTTTCTGTAACATACGGAGTTTAACTATAGTAATGCACAACATTTTTGGTGTGAAATTTGTTAGACCCAAGCAAACTATGGAATCTGTGGGGTTGTTTTTGTTCCTTGTTCTTGCATTTCTCCATATTTGGAACATTTCCTAGTGGGGGCTAGGTATGGAATATTTGTCCAGAATTGCCATCCCATGAGTGATTCCCTCAGCTTTGTCCATACTATTAGTGGGGGCTGCTTTTAATCCTGTGTGATCTTTTCAGATGAGAGTAGGGGGAGGAGTGGTAGTCACAAAGTATCATATAATTAATGGATATTAATTTATCTTATTTCAGTTTTGTAGATCTTTTGCAATTTTTTGCTGACCTACATACAGGTTGCTTTTATTACTGTAAGGTTTCTCACAATACCCAACCTTTTTTTTTTTATATACCCAACCTTTTTTATAATTATTTTTTGCAGATTAAGCAAAGTGCATGTGGATATTTGTTTTATTTTTTTTTTTAACTCATCTGAAACTGCAGAGTTTTCAAAATAGGAAGTTAGGGAAAATAACACTTAAAAAGTATTGACTACCATGCTTGCTTTAACTGCACATATACTAAAATTGGAATGATACAGAGAAGATCATCATGGCCCCAGGATAAGGATGATACACAAACTCATGAACTCTTTCATGAAAAAAAAATTTTTTTTAAGTATTGACTACCTGGCTATCTTTCAACAAAATCCAGCAAGTTGCCTCTGTGTATTTGATGTTGAACTTTCAGACTGATAGTAATAAATCTGAACCTTGGTTACCACTGAACTTTTAACTTCTGCATTTCTAGGGTTGCCATCTACCAGGCTAGGCACCTTTCTGGAGAATCGTGTGAATGAATTTCTGAGGCGACAAAATCACCCTGAGTCAGGAGAGGTCACTGTTCGGGTAGTTCATGCTTCTGACAAAACCGTGGAAGTCAAACCAGGCATGAAAGCAAGGTATGTAGTAATGTTCCCTTCTCCTCTCTTGGATCCACAGTTGTTCATGCATGGTTATTGTTGATGATTCTAATCTGAATGATGTGGTTTTTCCCTCCAATCTGAATTGTACAGGTTTGTAGATAGTGGAGAGATGGCAGAATCCTTTCCGTATCGAACCAAAGCCCTCTTTGCCTTTGAAGAGATCGATGGTGTTGACTTATGCTTCTTTGGCATGCATGTTCAAGAATATGGCTCCGACTGCCCTCCACCCAATCAGAGGTAAGCTTTGCTAGCGCTACCTCCTGATGTGCGTGGGAGTTTGAAATTAGGCGAAAAAGCAAAATGGGCAAGAAAATGGTTGAGGTACTTGGTTTTGAAATGCAAGTTCTCATGTGTAGTATTAAAGTGGAGCCAAAAATAAATAAGTACTTCTCAGTATTGCTCTTCTGTGGTCATAGTAATAAGGCAAGGGCTATGAATAGCAGCCCAGAATGGGAACCGAATGCACTACTTTTCAGAAAATGGGCTTAAATCTAGATTGTATTAAGTGCCTTCCTGGAGAAGTATGTGAAAGAATATCATACAAATGAGGTAGAATAATTAGAATTTGTTTCCAAAATACCATAAAGGCCAGAATAAGGATGCTGCCAGAAACCATTTGAATCCATAAATATTGACTGATACACACTGTGTTTCCGGCACTGCTAGGTACTGAGACTATATAGTAGAGCCACAGCATTCACAGTCTCGTCACCTAACTATGGTACTGTGTGGTAAGCATTACAAATGACGGGATGAGCAAAATGCACAAAAGAGAGAATGTATTTTTTAGCCACATTGATAAGAACTCATTATGTGACTTGACTTGATTTCTTTCTCCCTGTTTGGCACAGGAGAGTATACATATCATACCTCGATAGTGTTCATTTCTTCCGTCCTAAATGCTTGAGAACTGCAGTCTACCATGAAATTCTGATTGGATATTTAGAATACGTTAAGAAATTAGGGTAAGTATGTTGATAACAAATGCCATTTTTAAAAACAATTGGTTTAGACTAATTCGTCTTAAACTACCGGTATTGTGGTGAGACATCAGTTAAAACATGCAAATATACGATTTTCTGTCTTTTTTTTCTCAACTTCAGTTTCATCTAGTGAAACCGTAACCCGACTTTGTGGTGATCCCGTGGTGTTACTGTTGCCAGTAGGAAAGAAATGGCTGCTTTGGCCCTAGTCGCACCCTCCCCAGATCAGCTTCGCTGCATTTCCTTCACTTAAGCTGTTAGGTCCCGTTTGATTTGAAGGTTGTATGTTACTCAGGGCCAGAACCTTAAACATTCGAATTTGATTGTTTTACACTAGATATGGAAACCAAACACAAGGGTCTGGAGATAATAAAAATTCACCAGACCCATTTCCTTACCTTTAATGTTTATATGTGCTTGAGACTATTCACCACTTCTCCTTGTTAACAGTTTGCATTCATTGAGCTTTCGTGTTGAAATGGATCCATTTTCCATTTCATTTGGTCTTTGACCACACATTTGGGGTTTTCGGATCCTCCAAGAACAACGAGTTTTCAGGAAACCTCCAAGAAGAACTAGTCAACAGGAGATCCATTGTTAGTGTTCTGGGCAATGCCTAGTACTGGCCTAAGAATTTTGATCTGATGCTGGACTATGCACTTTGTGTTATTTTGAGAAATTGCTGGTTTCTGTACTGACTCCACCTTGTAAAATATGGCGTTCTTCCTAGAATGGATGATCTTCTCTCCTGACTCTTTTTTTCTCTTCGTGTTGTTAGTTATACAACAGGGCATATTTGGGCATGTCCCCCAAGTGAGGGAGACGACTATATCTTCCATTGTCATCCTCCTGACCAGAAGATACCCAAGCCTAAGCGACTGCAGGAATGGTACAAAAAGATGCTTGACAAGGCCGTGTCTGAGCGAATTGTCCATGACTACAAGGTCAGCGGGGCGGTGGGGGGGCGTGGTAGAAGTGCACATTTGCTAATCCTACTGCTCTGTATTCTGCCATTTAACTACCTTCACGAGACTCTATTTGTTCTTCCTCTTCCATGTAACATAAAGTTAACCCTAATTTGGTAAAGTGTTTTTATTTTGCCCAAATTATTATTAAGGTGAAGTGTATCTAGCAAAACGTTTTCAAATTGCTAATCTAGTCAGTCGAGTATATCAGTGTTTCATATTCTCTTTTCTGTCCAATCAGATTTTTTCAAAGTAAGAAAAACTAGGCTTTCAAAGAATCTTAGGTCAGCAAATCCGAATTTTAAAGATATGACTAATTAAAAATGTATTCTTAATAGCCATTTGTGATTAGAGGGAATCTCATGACAAGAATTTGAATAAACTTCTTACCTGTTTATACTCATGGGGAGGAAATCATCAACTGGATGTTTTCTCGAGCAGCACAGCAAATCGCTCTGTAGCCATGCAGTTTCCAGAGTTTGTCATTTGAGTTGTGTTGAACATATTTCTCACTTAAGGCTGCTGCAGTTCCAAGAATGGGTGTGAGGCAGGCATGCCTTATATTACACTACCTTTTGTCATCAGGAAGGGTAAAGGCCACAGTGAATGCTGATGCCTCTGGCTCTGCTGTTGGTCCTAGCAGGATAATTCATCACTTGGTTATAAATATAGGCAGGTTATCTCCCTGCCCTCATGGGTAAAGGAAAGGGAAAACCAAGAATACTGACTTAAGACCGAGGCTTTTCACTGTTTATGACTTCGGTGTCATCTCAGGCTTGGGACTTAGATATAAAATTTCTCACCATTTCAAAAACATGTTAATTCTTGTTGTTTATGTCCATTAGCTGGGACTGCTTTTGTATAATCAATGCCTTTTTAAAAAGAAGAAAAAAATAGAAATTTCAATTTGTACATAAATATTTTCACAGGATATTTTTAAACAAGCTACTGAAGATCGGTTAACAAGTGCAAAGGAATTGCCTTACTTCGAGGGTGATTTCTGGCCCAATGTCCTGGAAGAGAG